GTCATTTTCATGCACATGATTTTCAAGTTTAGGATGGTTATGTCAAAATGGTTATTACCTGATATTTGTCACGGTATCTCTTCACTGCAGCAGCGTGAGAAAGGATCATATTATGAGCAACAACGTAAGGCTCTGTAGCAGAGTTTCCACCAGCAGTGCAGTTTGTGCATCGTGCAGGAGCAAAACTACCTTCATCATATCCGAGAGCAGCTACAACTCTTGGCTCGTTGAATGTCATCCAGTTTTTTACTCTATCGCCAAAATGTTTGAAACAAAAATCTGCATAATCCGCATAATCCTTTCTGCAAAAAATTTAACCGCATGTTCCAGATATAACTTGATGTTGTGAAACAAATAAACAAAGCGATGTAAATTAAGTGAAGTTGGCATAATTGTGCTAAATTTAAGGATTAAATATTGCAGATAGACACCCTCTAGTATCATTGTTACACCCTCTAGTATCATTGTTACACCCTCTAGTATCATTGTTTTTGAACTTACTACCCCTCTAGTTTAATTGTTGCAGATAGACTCCCTGAGTGAATTTTGTTGACTCTTTTACACTCAGAAAAAGAAAAGGAGAATATTGTTCTTTGACAAATAGACCATTCTAAAAGAGTAAAAAAATTCCACTTAGACGGTCCATCTGCAAAGAAACAAAAAGAGGTGTAGTAAGTTTAAAACAGAGATGCTACAAAGGTCTATCCGCAATCAACCCTAAATTTAAATTTAAAGTATACTCTAGTCTACTTGAAACTACAAAATTTGTATCATTAAGCAGGAAATAACCCTGAGATTAATTAACCAACCAAAACAATTAGAGGAAAATATGGGTGGGAGCCTAAGAGAAAAATTTACTAATTTCAAACATTTAAACCCTCATTTTGATGATTCTAAATGTATGCTTGACATGCTCGATAAAAATGCTGATAAGAAACGAACATAATTGTAAGTGCTATAGACACTTACTATTCTTAAAAAAATAATTAAAGAAAATTAAAGAAAAACTTCAGAACTTTCCATTGTAACCAGTATTGACTCTGTCATATAATCATTGACTCCATAAAATTTTGATGGAATAACAATAATAAGTTTTAAAAATTATAAATTAAACAGAAGGCTTATTTCACATTATTGGCAGAATTTGACAGATTTGATGCATTAATAGGGCATCCAAGTATATTATTATTCACAACTAGAGAAATGAAAACGGCATGATAATCAGCATGTCATAATAAACAAGAGTACTTTTTGCTGAATCAGAGAATTTAAATCTATAGATATTATTGAATACTTACACAACCCTGTGGCTTAACAAGCCTAAATATTTCTTCTCGAGTGCTTCTGGGAGATCATAATGATAGAGATTTGCATATGGAGTGATGCCTACACAACGATGTGTATTAATTACAGTCGTCAATCTATGCAAAACTAATACGCAGATTACTTTTATCATTTGATCAAAGAGTTCACCTTGCTTTATCATGTAGTTTATCAACCGGTTGTAATATGCAACCCCTTTCCAATTTACCCTCCCCGTGCCATCTATATGAAAAAGTTGGCGACATTTTTAAATCATATAAAATTTCAACTCAAACAAAGAAATAAAATAATAACAAAAAAATTAATTGATTCAGAGTTCCGTTTGCATTATTTACCTGGAAAAATCCGTGACCATGAGATTGAGAAACGATATGCATCAAAATTCATCTTTTTCATGATGTTTACATCTTCCTACACCATAATGCCAACAAGATTTAAATCCATAAATCTAGTGAAGAAATTTTAAATAGGAAACATCAATAGATACTGACTTCATATAACTCAAGTTTGGAGCGGTTAGTGATTTTAGCATGTTATATAATACCCTTGAATACAATTTTCACTGTCTATGCTCCCATTACTCCACTAATGCTAAGATTACACAACCATGTATCTCAACTTAATTGAAGTCTTGAAACATGATAATAACTGTGTTTGTCTTTTATTAATTTAATGTCTCATTATCTCATAAACGTTGACACATTCTTGGGTCTATTTGTGTAAAGATGGTGATGTCTTAGATTGCTATAGAGACAAAAATCATTAAGAATATAAAAATCCACAAGTATGTTTGCACTTAGCAATATTAAACTTTTCAAGACAAATTTACTCAAAATAAGGCAGCAGTTAATTTGCCTCCAATATTTAATTACAAAGTGATAAATTAAACCAAAAACACTAAAAGAGTGCACAGCAATTTATAAGAAGGATACCTGAAATTAAAGGACCTTGTAATTGAAACCTGTTTTCAATTACCTATAACTTAACATGACACGATCATAGAGGTGAAAGTTAGAACAAATTTATTCATGGACATTTATTCAAGTATATGAGAATTTTTACCTAAGTGACTGCTAAATTTTATCTGCTAAATTTATGAGGCTTTTTTTATTCATATTCTGTAAGACCATCTTTTTGTAATTCTTTTTTTTCCAAAAAAAATAGATAAAAGATAAAGGCTGTTTAACAAAATATGAATAAAAATGTGCTTTAGAGGGCAAAAAATCCTTATTTGTGAATAAAATGGCAAAATTTTTATCAATATGTTTGATGGTGGACAAATTCATCCAGATTGTCAGTTGTTGTAAATTGTTGAATGGTTTCTTACGTTGTTTTTTTATAAATCTAAGTAAAACATCTGACTTATGCAGCTCCTTAATACTTATATTTACAATACTTGTCCAGGACGACAAACAAGAACTTGTACTATAAGTCTTGGTTGTATCATTTTAGGATCCGATATCATTTTAGGATCTTTTTCATGTTTAAACTTTTATTTTTTGCATACCAAATTACCGTAAATGGTAAAGTTTTAAGCCCAGCTGCTAGTCTGCAACAACAAAAATGTCAGATGGGTATGCCTTTCAAAACTTTGGTGAGCTAACACAATAAATGGAAAATTGATGATGAAGCTGCAACTACAACAATAAATTTAGTGTCATTTGCAGAAAATTGAAGAGGTTCGAACTAGATATATTAACAGTTTTTCAACCATATATAACATACTCATCAGTGAAAAAATTAATTTAGTTTCTGGTAAGCACTTGAAGCAAACCCGATAATTGTTTAGAGATCTAAAATTCCTATTTTTAGCTCAGTCAACTAACCAAACATTCTACAAATATTTCAATTAGCCTATAGCATTTTCTTGTTTTGAGGAGATATTTATATGTGGAGGGTTCCACAAGAAATAGTCAAAGGTGAATTCTTACCAAACAATATAAATAGATGCTTCTTGACAATAACTGTATCATTTATGATTAAAGGCCCATAAATCATCAGACAAACATATAAGGAGGTCGATGAGCAAACTACCATTTCTGATATATTATACTTTGGTAAAGATCTTGGTGGAATACTAATTCTGATCAAACATCTAATGTCTTCAAGAAATTTACAGAAATAACTTCACTTTAGAAATAATCCACCGAAATCTGAGTGAAAGATAGTAAAGACTACGTTAAAGGAGGTCTCAAGTTCCAAATAGAGCTATATATTTTTAAGTGGAAACTTAATTCTAATCAAAATCTAATGTCTTCTTACAGAAAATAACTTCACTTTAGAAATAATCCACCGAAATCTGAGTGAAAGATTGTAAAGACTACGTTAAAGGAGGTCTCAAGTTCCAAATAGAGCTATATATTCTTTTCTTTTCTTTTTTCGGCACGAGGAAGGCAAGAAAGAGAAGGAACAGCCAGAAACAAAATAACAATCAGAAAGCCATCTAAACACATGCCATGAATACTTTCTTAGTCATACTTACATGCTTTCCAACGTAGGAAATTAAGACATGTACTTGTGATAAGAAGACACAATTATATCCTTATCCAATGTTATTGAAAATTTAATTAACACTATATAACTTTAATTATTTATTCATAACTTTAAATTATTTCCAATGATTTATAAGGTAAAACTGTATTTATTTGTAATCAATTACTATTATACGTATATCACTTTACTATATCCATTTTTGTGTCAGATGTCATGAAAAAAATATGATTCTATTTTTTTGAAATGCATTTGGACAGGCAAACCACAAATAAATGTATAAACAAAATATTATTCAAATGTGTAAGTGTCAAGATCTTGTTGTAATTTATTTATTATGAAAAATATAATAGTTGCACATACACACACATGTATACATACAAACACACATGTGCGCGCCTACGCACACATTTAAATGGAAAGTGATAAGAAGTAAATCAAATAAGAAAGTAAACAAAATAGAGGAAAGTCCTATGAAGAAGAAATATCATATTCGACACTTATCAACTAACAATGCTTACTTATACCTTGGAATTCATTGTTAAATCCAATTTAATGTGTTTGAAGTATATTTGCTTTCTTTAGTAGCATTGTTATGAGGATCTATTCACAAACTTATCCCTTAGATTTCCTTTAAGATGCGTGCTGATTTGTGTGGCACACCTCTCAAAATCTGTCCTGTATCAGTGCTTGACACTCATCTCAAAGCAAACTCAATGGATAAACAAGTTGGTTAAAGCAAATCCAATTGGTCAAAAAGTTGGTTGAAACAAATCCCTTAATCTGCTTAAGTTTACGGGAGTTATACTCACATTGTGAGATATGGAGATGTTTGTTATTGTAGCTACAACGTTTGTTGTAGGAAATCTACATGAGTTATACTCAAGTTTGGACGAATTTTTAAAAAACCCCTTAACTTTCAAAATATCAGAAACACCCATTAACTTTAGGGGTTATAAGAAAACCCCTTTTAACTTTTAATAGGGGGTTTTCTGATAAAAATTTTAAAGTTAAAGGGGGTTTTGCTAAGATTTGAAAGTTAATGGAGGAATTTATGATAATTCCTATGCTTAAGGGGGGTTTCTGATATTTTAAAAGCTAACGGGGTTTTCCAATAGTCGTCCAAAGTTAAGGGACGTTTATCCGATATTTACACGTAGGAAATTAATCTCAAATATTTACCTATAGCAGAAGAGAGAGAGTGTGGTTAGGGGTATGTCTCTATCATTTTCTATCATTTTCCTATGTGGACCGTATATGGACCGTGTAGGTAGTTAGAAAAGTTATTTTATTTACAAATTTTACAATTAAACATATATACATAAGTGCCTAGAGAAACCTTCATGTGATAATTGGATTATTTTATTCGCTAGAATGTTAAAAGGATTTATTATTTTTAAATAAACTTAGTTCTCATTATGTTAAAAAAAGAATTACGTTAAAAAAGAAAGAATATAAAAGGGACATTCTGTGCAATTTGTTTCAATAAAAGCGTGAGATCCAGATCTAAACTTGGATTCCTTCTTGATTAGACAACTCACAAAGATTGTGCGTGTACAATGACAAAAGAGAGTGCAACAGTTATCACGCAGAATCTTTTATTTTTTATTTTTATACATACCTTGTATCGATGGTACTCATCCACAGTCCTGTCCGCAGTCGCATTATTCGCAATAATCCCTGCTCCGAACAAAAGCCCAAATTAAAATAACCAAGGGAAAAAAAAAAACTTCAAAAATATTCCGACCATTTCGAAAGATTGACGGCTGAGATTTACCGGGAATGCTAACATACACGTCCCAGATGCTGGGCCCACGCCCGTCCTTGAGGGCCATGCCCTCTACTTGATAAGCCGACGCCGCGGTTCCGAACGTGAACCCCTTCGGAAACGCGGCCCGGCTCAGCCTACTGGAGCGGGCCCGGCCCGGCCCCATCCGCGGAGCACCGGACCGCGAGGAGGAGCACGAGGAACAGTACTCGGGTCGCCATAGTGAGGAGGGAGCAACGATAATGGTTGTTATTTATAGCCTCAGACGTGGGGGGCCGCTGACGATTTGTACGCATAGGAGTTTTGTTCGGACGTTTTTATAGAGGGGAGTGGAGGAGATTTATTACATTTTGACAAGGTTCCGAGGAGCTTAAACCATATGGCAAAGTCATGTCACTCTCCCCGAGACAGGCTACATCCGTAAAAAAAAATTTCTGCGCGTTGAGCCTCGTCTTTAATCCTACACAACAATACGTAAATGCAGGCAGCATCCTAGTAGATCATATGGCAAAGTCACGTCGCTCTCCCACGAGAGAACCTCGATTAGAACTCATGTGCGTTAAAGACGCATTAGTTATGCTTGTTAATTAGTATTGTTATGTACCCAAAAGACGCATTTTTCCTAAAAAAAAGGTAAATACCAGTTAGGAAATCAAACTCAGGCACTCCGAATCTTAATAATGCAACCAACCCATCTAAGCCACCCGTTAATGGTTTATAATTATGAAAAAGAGAAGAAAAATATTACAGTTTATTCTAATATTTTATTTTGAATGTCAATTATACTAATCCCTATATGATTTATATTGATGCAAAATTTTGTTTGTACTGATCTTGAAGAAAGAATACACTAATGTTTTTTGTTTTGCACCGATTATTATATTAGAAATTATATCACTACGTTTGGTATGAATATATATGTTGCTCGACATTTATCTCGATACAAGTCGCTTGTATAAGATAATTAATGTTCAGATAAAATTTAAGAACACGTCGCTTGAAAACATAATTGTTATAGTGCTTCAATTATTGAATAATAATCTTCATTTGGTAGCATACAAGTGTTCCACATTAACTAGCTAATTAAATCAGCTTACCACTTCGAGATAACCAAATCCCTCAGCTCGTGCGGCTCAGAGGAGCGACACCTCGCGTAGCTGGCTCATAAGGCGGTACGTGTCAACCTCCTAAGGTCGACTCCACAAGCGACCTACACAACCACCTGTTCGGTCGACATCTCTCAGAGTCGACTTGAAAGACGATACTTCTTAGCCCTCTACCTGGCGAGTAAAAAGGACGGCAACTCCAGCGACCCCCCCCCCCCGACAATTCGTCGCCATCACGATTAGAGCATTGAGCAAATTCATCATTTCTCCGTCCTCGAAGATCTTTATAACATATCGGACTAAGTCGGCACCACGTGCCTCTTGTCACTTCAAATTAAACGTCGAAGTGACTCCTGGCACTGGGCAGCCGACACTGGACAGCCGACACGTGTAAAGTGAATACTAACTCAGCCGCCATCCCATATTCGATCTACCAAACCACTCCTCTATTATTACTATAAATAGGAGGACTATTCTCAGCACCAAGGTAAGCAATTTTCCTGCTCCGTAAACTCTAGAACTTCTACAGTTCATTTTCTTCTCGACTCAAGCAATTTATTGATTTGATCGTCGGAGGAACTGGGGTTGTGCAAATGGTCGGTCGGTTCGGTTCTTATCAACTTTTGAACAACCGAATTGAACCACCCATTATTCAAAATCGAATTGAACTGTTGCAAGTCAGTTTGGTGTGGTTCGGTTTGGTTTGTTTTGTTTTAACCAAATACATTCAAATGTTATAGACAAATTTATTCATGTCTATTATACAACCTTTTCTTTTGCTTTATTCACAACTTATACAGGTACTAACATGCAAGGATTTTGAATAAAAAAACACTAATCTAATCAAGATAAAGCGATAAAGAAGGGAAAACATCATAGGGGCAGCAATAATCAGCTACAACTTAAAACAAAACAAATACATCTATAAGCTACATGAAGGGAAGAAGCTATTTTAACATATACAAAGACCCAAGAGTCCAAGACCAGTCGAAAAACTAGTGGATATGGTGCTAGTGTATCTTTCAGTTTTTAAGTGTCAATGACTTAACACTCATCCAATTTGTGAGAATGTGTATTTTTTTATGATCTAATTTGTAGTCCCCCTAAAAATCTAATTTTAATCATAAAATCTAATTAAACCAATTATTTCTCACTAAACTATAATTTAGTAGTATGCATGAAGAACTAAAAAGTTTAGATCTTTTCCCCTGAAACTGAAAGCATATGTTCAAAATTAGGGTTCTTAGTTTATATGTTCACTACGGGTGCAGGTGTCCCCCAAAGCAGGAGATGGATCCTGAGGAGATGGTTCGGCCTCGGCCATGAAGATGATGATGAGTGGCTGTTTGGTGGCGAGTGAAGGAAATTCGAGTCAATGACGATGACGAGTCGTAGGCAACGACGGTGAGTCGTAGACGATGTTGGCGAGTCGGAGTCGACGAGAGAAGTTGCGCTTGCGGCACTATGCATGCGCTAGTACGCTGCGGAGTGCAGAGAGAGAGAGAGAGTGTGTGTGTGTGAGTGTGGAGTGCGAAGCTACGGATAGAGAGGAAGTGCGGCTGCGGGCTTTGATTTAGGGTTTAGGTATTGAGATTTGAGGGATTTTAGTGAATGAGTCGGGTATAATTTCTAATGGGTACGGGTTAAAAACTATTGTGTTATTATTGATGCGGTCGGTTCAAATGGTTCAGGTTGAAAAGTTTTTAACTTGATCTAAACCGACCTACAAATAAAACCGACCTGAACTGCTAATTTTCGGTCAGTTCGGTCGATTTTTTCGGTCTGGACCGAACCATGCACAACCCTAAGAGGAACAATCGAAAAACTCAACTCCGTTTTCATATGAGTTCTTACATGTACAAGGAAGAGCAGCTTGCTCCGGAAGTGAACATTGTAGAAATGCGGACTCAGCGACGAAGTTAAGGAAATTTAAAGTAGGAAACAATTTGGATGTTGTCCAGTCGACCGCAAGGCAAGGTCGGTCAACCGAAAATATTCATGGCTATAGGTTAATTTGATGCACTCTGTCCGGTCGACGGTGAGATACTTTCGGTCGACCGAATTTCTTGTCCGATCGACCGAAGGGTCATGCTAGTCAACCGATATAGGTTTTTTATAGGGTGAGTTTCTGTTGTTCTGGCCGGTCGACCGTGACGTTAAGTACGGTCGACCGCATCGGATTTTTAGGGTTTTGGTTTCCTGATCGATTTGGGATTGCTATTTGATATAATAGCAACCACGTTTTTAGGGTTTAAGCAAGATCGAAAAAGTGTTTGTTTTATGCACAGAAAAGAGATTTTTCTAAGCAATTCGGTTAGGGTTTTGTTTGAGAGATTTGTTTAAGAGATTAATTTGTGAGGTTTTGAGTGATTTTATAATCTATTTGTACTCTCTTCTCTATTAGTAAAAACTAATTCCCTTCTTGTCTCGTGGACGTAGGAAACTTGCCGAACCACATAAAATTTATTTATTTGTGTTCGTACCGTTATTTTAATTGTGTTTGGCCTTCTCTCTCAGTGTTTGTATTTGACCTCAAAACCCCAACAAGTGGTATCAGAGCTCATGCTATGCTTGAGGTTAGGTGGAGGAGTAGATCACTTTGGAAACTCGTCTAGGGTTTCAGTTGGAGATAAATGTAGGATTTTTACTATTGTAGATCTTGTCTTTGTCGTGTGGGAGTGAGATCTTTTGGAGGCTCTTATAAGGGTTTTAGTTGGAGGTAAAAATCTACCTTTCGTGCAGTTTGGATATATCTTTTGGTTTGTTCCGTATTGGTTTGTTGGTATTTTGAGGAAGATGGTTAGGAAAGAAGGTGTTGAGAATGGTTCTTCTGGCGTGAAGACCGTTCAAAGTCTGAATATCCACTCTATGAAGATAGATGCGGAGAAGTTTAATGGCACGAATAACTTTGGATTATTGAGATGTGAAGTTTTGGATGCGCTGAACACACAGAATTTGGAAGATACTTTGGAGTTGGACGGCAAGTCGGACGATATTGAAGAAAAGATTTGGAAAAGGATGAATCAGACAACGTATGACGTGATTAGGTCTTGTTTAACGCATAATCTAAAGTATGATGTGATCAATGAGACTTCGACAAAGAAGATTTGGGAGATTCTTAAGAGCAAGTATTTGACAAAGAGTGTTGAGAACCGTTTGTATTTGAAGAGGAGGCTTTACCGTTTCCAGTTGAAGAAGGGAATCAATTAGTGATCACATGACAATTACACGAAGCTTTTTACAGATTTGGCGAATGTGGATATTATGATCGAGGATGAGGATAATGCATTGTTGTTGTTGAGTTCCTTGCCTGATGAGGAATATGAGACTTTTTCTCTTACTCTAATTAATAAAAAGACATCTCTTTCGTATAGTATGGTTACCGCTGCTCTTATGAATTATCAGCTAAGGAAGAAGGACAATGAGTCTTCAAATGATACAGTAGTGGAGGCATTGACCGCAAGAGGGAAAAGTTCAAACTGAAATAGGAGGTCGCAGTCTAGAAGAGCACATCCTTCAGTTGGAAGAAATCAATGTGCTTTTTGTAAAGTAGATGGACATTGGAAGTTTGAATGCCCAAAGTTGAAGGATCGAGCCGGGAAGAATAAGGAGAAAGTTATACAAGTTTCAGAGGTGAATGTTGTCAAGGCTAGTTATAATAATTTAGATTCGGATTCTTCGGGCTACTCGTGTCCTACACTACCGTCAGTTTGTGATGTAGACTTTACGGAGTGGATGTTACATTCGGGTGCTTCATACCATATTTATCCTATGAGGGATTGATTCTCCAACTTTGAGAAGTTGGAAAGAGGGGATATTGTGCTCATGGGTAATGGTCATGAATATCCTATTGGTGGTATTGGAACAGTTCGGATCAGAATGTGTGACGTGGTGATTAAGGAGTTGAAGGAAGTGAGGTTCGTTCCGCATTTGTCGAAGAAAATCATTTTACTTGGAGTTTTGGAGGTAGCAGACTATAGGGTGATATTAGATGATGCATCTCTGAAGGTCACAATAGGGGTCCATGATTGTAATGAAGGACGTAAGAAAGAATAATTTGTACTATTTGATTGGGAGCACGGTGATACATGGAGCGCTGACGGCTTCTATTGATTCGGCTAGACTATGGCATTTGAGGTGGCTGGGATATTCGAGTGTTAATTCTGTGCATGGATTGGAGAGAGGTGCTTTGACCTACAATTTGAAGTCCTGTGAATATATTGGTGTGAGCAAGAAGACCGAGGTGAAGTTTGGCACTTTTATTCACTGAACGAAGGGCCTTCTAGATGATGTTCACGTAGGCATTTGGGGACCTTCCAAGAAGGTATCATTGGGAGGTAATAGGTATTTGGTTTTCTGTGTTGAAGACTATTCTAGGCATTTGTGGGTTGCAACTAAGTCCCATTTGAGTAAAGTCTTAGTAGTTAACAACAGGTGAAAGAAGTGTATAGGCAGAAAAGTAAATATACTTAGTTCTAATTTTGATAGGAAGTACAAGAGGGATTCTTTTTTTGCATTTGTACCTAGTGTAAGACAGTTTGAGATACTTCATTGGAAAGGAAACATTAGGGCAACGAGATGAGATGGCAAATTTGATGGGTTGTTCCTTGCTGAAGAAGGATCGGCGTTTGATGTCAATCAGTGGTTTGTAGAGGAGTTTTGGTGCTGAGGCTTTGACATATTGGAGACATCTTATTTATAGATTGTCGTCTATCGCGATTAGAGTATTTGGATCTGGTGGAGCTGCTTCAAATTTTGGGTTGCTTCGGATATTTGGATGCCCAGCATATTGTCACATTGAGGATATAAAATTTAATTCGAGTCCACATTTGGGATTCAGAGGCGTGTTTGGTTACCAGTTTTGGGATTTTGATATTGTTCTGAGCAGTATTGTTACATTTGACTCTCAGCAGGTGGAGAGTGTTGGACAGATCATTAGGATATCACAGCGGGTGGAGAGTGATGCTATTCCACATTATGTAGAGATTACTCCACGTACTCCAGATCATTTTGTATTGTTTAGGATTCTAGCTGAGGTGACACGGTATCATGTTAGTGTTGATGCAAATGATGAGTTTGTTGATTCGAGTGCAGCTGATGCACACAGTTCAGATTTGGCTATGGTCGTTGGTTCACCTTAGTTGGAGGTGTTTGGTATTTATGTTTTTTCTACATATAGGGTTGAGGAATTAAGCTCCAAGACAGATTTGGTGTGGAGAGATGCAAGTTTGGAAGAGAGTTTATCTTTTAACATTGAGACCATTTGGAGAGTTATCAGCTGCAGATTTGTTGGTGATGATCATAAAGATTTAAAAATCCTTCTAGTTGATTGATGGCCTTTGAAGGCTATTTGGGTAAACTACGTGAGGCTTGATTCCCTGGGCAAGAGGATATGTAGGCAGTCATTTTGATGCACCCGGTTTGGTGAGTTGATACCAATATTTAGAGTTTGTTCGCATTCTCATTTGGGTTCCCGACTTGTTGTGGTTGAATCCGTTGTCGTGAATTTGTTTCACTTTGTAGTGGACGTAACAAGTGGGGCATTTGGTTTGGTTGGTGTCGACTTAGTTTTAAAAAATCTTCACCGAGGTGGAGAATTGTAGAAATGACGGGCTCAGTGACGAAGTTCAGGAATTTTAAAGCAGGAAACAATTTGGGTGTTGTCCGGTCGACCATGAGGCAAGGCCGATCGACAGAAAACGTGCACGACTACAGGTCAATTTGATGCACTTTGTCCGGTCGACCGCGAGATACTTACGGTCGACTGAATTTGCTATCCGGTCGACCGAAGGGTCATGCCAGTCGATCGATACAGGTTTGTTTATAAGGTGAGTTTCTGTTGTTCTGGTCAGTCGACTGTAGTGTCAAGTGCGGTCGATCGCGTCGGGTTTTTGGGACTGGTTTCTGTTTCCTGATTGGTTTGGGATTGCTGTTTGATATAAATAGCAAGCACGTTTTTTAGGGTTTAAGCAAGGTTGAAAAGGGATTTGTTTTGTGCACAGAAAAGAGAGTTTTTTGTGCAATTTGGTTAGAGTTTTGTTTGAGAGATTTGAGAGATTTGTTTGAGAGATTAATTTGTGAGGTTTTGAGTGATTTTATAATCTCTATTTGTACTCTCTTCTCTATTAGTGAAAACTCATCCCCTTCTTGACCCGTGGACATAGCCAACTTGCCGAGTCACATAAAATTCGTTTGTTTGTGTTTGTGGCATTATTTTGATCTTGTGTGACTTTCTCTCGGCGTTTGCGCGGATTTCCTCGGATCCCAACAAACATTTGGAGGAGTTAGAGGACTTCCGACAACCTAACCCTCCTCTTAATTAGCTGTTTGATTATTAACATTAACAATAACGTTCCTTACTTAAAAAACATTAATGTCGGGAACAGGTTTATGTTTGAAATTGTGAATAATTGTACTAATCTAAGGTGCCCCTGGAGGGTCATACACCCATATATAAGTTTCTATACATAAGTCTCTATACGATTTTAACGGCTTTTTGTGGGGGCTTTGGGACGTGAGGAGCCTGACAGCAGTCACGGAGATCACGTAAAAGGCATATTTATCAGTTCATAAACGGATTGAAATGAACTGACGTCGAAGTGACGGCGTTAACGGGTAAGAGGGTGGGCGCGCATGGTTGCATTTGGCTGTGTCAGGCTGCGTCTTACACGCGGCGGTGGAGGATAAACGGCAGAGATCGCGCGGTCGGTTTCAGGCGTGGCAATTTTTTAGTCGATCACTCCACGGTGAACTTTGTTTTTTAATCTTTATTGTTTATCTTATTTTTTACGCATAATTTATTTTTCCTTCTTATTTATTATGACGGCTTATTTTAGCATGTGCGATGTGCATCTTAATTATTCCTTTCCTGTTTTTCACTTTGATATAATTAAGAAATTGTATATATCATCACGTGACATTATTGTCACACCCCGGTTCCAAAATGTAATAACTTGGGGCCGGCAATGCAACAATTCGGTCATATTCATGCCTTTAGATCATCCTGTATATAGATATAAAGTCAAAACTACATCATAGAGCATGTAACTAAGGTAATAAAAAATATATATAGATGAAGAAATCTACAAAAAGGACGGAGTCCAACTACAAGTTCACAACTATCCACAAAGTGAAAGGGTAAATAAAAATTTTGTACATCATAGTCTAGAAAAAAGTCACATATGACTCAAGAAAAAGTCTAAACCAAATAACTATCTAAACCAACTGAATTGAAAAACTAATGGAGTAAAATGTGTGATCAATGCCGCTGGACTTGCTCCTCAAAATAGTCTTGATCATGCGAAGAAAGAACAGTTCCCGAGTCTGGGGTGCACAAACCCCAAGGGAGTAAGAAAACTCCCAACAAGCATGTAAAATGAAGGAATTGTGCACGTGTAAGTATATGTAGTAGGTATAAAGAAAAGAAGAAAACTCAACTACAAGTGATACAAGAAAATGCTAATTGTAGATATTAAACAAGGTCTACCACAAGACACACAAGCACCTTGTTATTATTTTATGTGTTATTTGAATTAGAGAAGAATATTTTCATGTATATAAGTCGGGTTCCTGTAAACCATCCCGGAACACGGATTCAAGTCAGGATTGACCATTAGCTCTTATATATATAAATCTGGATATCAAGAATGCACATGAGCCCACTTATATACACATTATATTCTCCGTCCAATTTTCCTTTACAAACCCCACTTTTATTCATTCATTTTAAGTGGTTGTGCATGAAATATTGTTCACTAACCATAGAGTTACCGTGGAACGGCTTCCGTAAAAGTTATAAAAAATAACTGTGACCCAAAGTATGTCCAATCAAAATGGGTATATCATCTAGTCAATGTTATTATAATAATAGTAATAATCAAGAGAAACTCTTCACATCGGTATATCTATTTCGAGGGTATAGCCATGTTATGATAACACATTTATGAATCATATTTCTTGATGGAAGTCATCTTCATGCACAATCAACCCTATTAAATGTCACTACGTGATGAAACATAACATCAGGTGATCCAATAAGGATCGAGAGATCAAACAATATCATCATTTGTCTTAACAAAGTGAAAAATAAATAATTAACATAATTATTTAGTGTCAAAGTGGGTCAAACGGTTTTAATTTGACAGCATAAAAACCTACAAAACTAATTTTAGTGATTAAAATTCTCAAACAGATTTGAAATTTGAGGTTTAGACCCAAACGGGTCTAGTATTTGATATTGGACTCCAACCTGATCGTTTTGGGTTCAAAACCCGATCCAAAAGAATTTTTGTGAAAACTCAGGTCCCTAGGATTCGAACTCCAAACCTTGGTGTCATTGTTAAATACAACTAACCACTACAAACATTAATCTTTTATGCCAAAGGTGATGACATGTAATAACTAAATGTCAGTTTCAGTTAAAGTCCTCAATACATATTTTCTGATAAGTAAATGATATATTTATATATATTATAAAAGCTAAAAATTAAGCTTCCGACTTGTACAAAAATTTATGTGAAAGTAATAGTACTAATAGTAGCAATAATGTGAAGATCATGGAGGAAAAATAAAAATAAAAAATAAATTGTAAAATAATTTTTTTATAAACAAGAAAAAAAAATCAAATCATATTCACTATTTTTTTGACTAAAGTCTAACTGATCAAATAAAGTTTAACACAAGCACAAGGCATGATTTCTTCATATATACCAAGGTTTATCTGTAGCATAATATCAACCGAAGAACTCATGAACCAAAATGTTAGCTTATGCAAGGATTATATGTAGCATAAACTCGAAATAGACCAAGCTCCAGAACCAAGTATAATCATGTACTCCACAAAGAGCAATAATTAAATATATTGACCTATGCATGGAACTAGGTATGGATAACTCCCAACATAAAATTCTAGTTTACAGTAGCCAAGAGTTTCTAATGGCAAAAAGGAAAAATGATCTACCATATAGAGAGGGGAAAAAACCAAACTAAGAAATATCTAATAAGTTTAAACATGAAGCCTACTATTTATTTCTATGAAACTATAATGAAAGACTCTGAACCCCAAATCCAAGAAAAAAATCCAAATCTCGTCCTTCTCCTTCTCTTGCTCTCTGTTTTTCCTTTTCTTTTTTTTCTTTTTTTTTGTGTGTGCAGGTTCTGAGGACAGAATGGTAGAGGAGAGGAGATAAGGGTTTTAAGGGAGGGTTGTGATTAGAAAATCCCTAAGACTAAGGGATTTTCAAGTAGTAGCAAACGGGTTAGTTACAAAAATAAACTGTAGACAAAAAATCGCACGATTTTGTTCGCGGGAAAAATCTTGTCTTTCTTCATTGATTCCATTGCACTCTTAAATAACAACTTTTTGAGTTACAAAGATCCGGTCTTTTTATAAGATCCGGTTACAATGAAAATCAAAGAAAAATAAAAAAAAGATTACAATTTTCTCCTTGTTTGTCGAACAAATCACGAGCTCCTGTTTTGCGATCACTCGCTTTGTGGGTTCTTTGCCTGCGCCGGGGTTTATCCGTGGACCACCGCAAGATCTAGATCCGGTCGGATCTACGCAGTATGACGGGTATTATTTCGCCAAGGAAATAATAGCCGAGGGTACTATTTCGCCAAGGAAATAGTAGCCTTTAATTCTCGGGATCAAAGGCCAAGCTTTGATCCGGAGTACGCCTGCGTAGATCTGAGATCCGGTCCTCTCGAACTCTTGCCTTATTTGGCGTTGACGATCGCCGAGCACCAGATCTGGATGAGCAAGTCCTCGAAGTCCCAAAGCTTGGATCTTTTTTAGATCTGAGTCTTCAATCCAGCAGGGCTTCGCCTCCAAAAAATCCAACCTTTACAAATGAACCAAGGGGGGCCTATTTATAGGCTCCCTTCACTGTGCCCACGCACAAGTGGCCGACGCACCGAGCCACCTCAAGGTGGCTCGGCTTTGGCCGAGCCACCTAGAGGTGGCTCGATTTCGGCCGAGCCCCCCCCTTAGGCGTGGTTTTCGTCCTTTTTGTGAACAGTGCCGGGCTTCCCGATTGGTCCGGGTCTTCGTGATTCCGAAGTCCTATCCGCTCATGTAACTCGTCGATTCACTTCAGTCGTTCGTCGATGTCGATTAGGCTCATGTGGATTGGATGGTGACGTTCATCGTCGCTCGTTAACACTGAACCGGTTGTGGAGAACTATAGGCAATTTTCGATGCCTACAGATACCCCCTCCAAAGCGTTCCGGACTCGTTTCTTTTATAGAAGAGGCTGGAATACTTTGGATGTGATTGATCTGGCCTTCAGTCGGCGTAGTTAGCTTCAACTCTTGACCCTTTCGATTTTCGGTCTATTCGATGCTTTGACGAATATCCGAAGTTCTTCCAGCGCTGTGTTTATCGCTTGGCCGTCGTCGGAGTCTCGAGTGTGCAGCTGATGAATTGAGTTTGGCTCGTGTCATTGAGTTGACTTTGAATTACCTCCGCCACATTGTGCTGGCTTAGGGTTTCGGATCCCCGTGTGTTGGCTTTTTTGTCGCAACGCGTTGACCGGCGTTGACCTAGGGTTACGCGTTGACCGGCGTTGACCCTTAGGGTTTCGAATTGTCAAACGTTGACTTTTATTGCAACGCATTGATCGGTGTTGACCTAGGGTTACGCGTTGACCGGCGTTGACCCTAGGGTTTCGAATGTCGTACGTTGACTGTTTGATCGCAACGCGTTGACTGGCGTTGACCTAGGGTTACACGTTGTCCGGCGTTGACCTTAGGGTTTTGAACGTCGTGCGTTGACTTTTTGATCGCAACGCGTTCATTGGCGTTGACCTAGGGTTACGCGTTGTCCGACGTTAACCTTAGGGTTTTGAACGTCGTACGTTGACTTTTTTATCGCAACGCGTTCACTGGCGTTGACCTAGGGTTACGCGTTGTCCGGCGTTGACCCTAGGGTTTCGAATGTCGTTGGATGCTCAAGTCACGAGACCAACTAATGAAGCTGATGCGTCAGTGACTCTCGTATTTATAGGATTTTTTGGCAAACCCTCAGCCATCAACGGGTTTGATGAGCCTTTACCGACTACCGTTTGAGTCGGGCTAGCATGCGGATTATCTAAATCCGTTCCACATGTGACGTTGTGCTAAGAGAGTTAACGCTCTTAGTGCTACGATATTGAATACGTAGACTTCGTCTTTCTCACGGGAATAGACTACCCGGCGACGCGTGTTAGGCGTTGACTTTAGGGTTTTTGGCTAACCCCCAGCCTTTAACGGATTTGATCAGTCTTTACCGACTACCGTTTGAGTCGGGCTAGCATGCGAATTGTCTAAATCCGTTCCGCATGTGACGTTGTGCTAAAGGAATGAACTCCCTTAGATTTGATGCTACAACTTCGAATATGTAGACTTCACCATTGTTATGGGAATAGGCTACCCAGCAACGTGTTTTAGACGCTGACTTATCCCTACTTAGGCTTCAGGATAAAATACGCGGAGAAAGACTAAACCGGCGACGCGTGTTAGGCGTCGGCATATCCTTTCTTAGGATTCAGGATGAAATTCCCCATGCGTGTAAGGCATGGATTCTGGTGTTATTAATAACAACATGTCACAATGTTGAATATGTGAACGGGTGTTCTTTTTAACGGTTAAGAACTAACCGGCGGCGTGGGTTAAGCACAGACTTATCCTTGCTTAGGTTTCAGGATAGAATACCCCAGAATCGGACTCTGGTGCCTTTTTCCACGGAAAAAGACTAAACCGGCGGCGCGTGTTAGGCGCAGACTTATCCCTGCTTAGGATTCGGGATAAAATTCCCTATACCTGTGAGGCACAGATTTTGAGAGTTGAAAAAGGTGGTGTCTTCTCTTGGGGCAAAGACGAACACGAAATAGGAGAGGAAGAATTTTATATTCTATCTCCCGACACTGAAGAAGAAGAATTTTATATTCTATCTTCAGCTGGAAAGGAGACTAGAGGTGGGATCTCCACCCCCAAAATCCGGAACGATGAAACTAGGAGTGGGATCTCCACTCCGAGAATCGAAAAGATTCGGATAACCCTAACTGTCGGAAGGTTTGATTACCGAACTAAAGATGAATTTCTCGTTTATCGAGAACGAATTATGATTTTGACTCTAACTGTAGGAAGGTTTGGCCAAACAGGAGTTTGAGGTGACCCTAACTGTAGGAAGGTTTGATCACTCGATTTGAAAGTGGACCTCTCGTTCATTGGAGGAATCGAGAGGGGATTTCGGTTTTGGTCCTAACTGTAGATAGGTTTGACCGAATGGAAGGTTTAAGACGATCCTAACTGTAGGAAGGTTTGATCGCTTGATTTGTGGACCTCTCGTTCATTGGGAGAATCGAGAGGGGATTTTGACTGTGGTCCTAACTGTAAGAAGGTTTGACCAAGTGGGTGTTTTGAGACAATCCTAACTGTAGGAAGGTTTGATCGCTCAATTTGTGGACCTCTCGTTCATTGGGGGAATCGAGAGGGGATTTTGACTGTGGTCCTAACTGTAAGAAGGTTTGACCAAGTGGGTACTTTACGTCCAGACTCTAACAGAGAGAGTGTTGAGTGCATAGACATGGTGAGAATGGGAGTTCTTATTCATTACATTGCTGTGGTTTTGGGAACTTCCCATTACATAAATCGTCCACCCCCAGTTTCCTCTGCGGAACTGGTTCGGACATTATTATCAGTTAACTAACCGGGTTATCCTTAAGAATATTAGCTTAATATTCTCCAGGAACTTCCCGTCAAAAGTGGGGAAACAGTTTAGACTCATATACCTATTGGAGTATCAGGGAGTAGTTTAACCTCTTATACCGGTCGGAGGATTGAGAAACAGTTTATACTCGTATACTCTTTGGAGTTTTGAGAAGCAGTTTATACTCTTATACTTATCGGAGTCTGCCATTCTCAATTGGCTTACCTCAGCGTTATGACGCCAGCTTCAACCAAGGTCTGAATGCTATTCTTGAGAGCAAAGCAATCCTTGGTGGGATGAACGACCCTCCTGTGGTATGCACAGTACTTTGGGTCCGTAGTGTTGTCAGCTTCCTCCTGATTTGTGATAGGTGGTAGCTTGATCTTGTGCTCCGCGAAGAGTGCCAACGAAGGACTGTACCATCAGAGGCTCATTGCCAGAGATGACCCCCAGATGTGATTTGAAGTAAATCACATGCTGAGTGGGTGAACCCTTCCCATCAAACGGCGTGAAGTTGATTAAGTTGAACTTCGCCGGATACGGGATTGATTCACATTCTCTTGGGTAGGGACAAGGAATGCCAGTCTTCTTTACCTCTTGAGCGAAAATCAACGTATTGATTTTGCTCTCGAGATTTTTGATTTTCAGACTTTCACCCGAGTTTTCATCAGCACGATTCTGAGGTGGAAGCGTGGTGTTGTGACTAGCATCCGCATTGTCACCCCCTGCATTAACGGGAGGGTTATTGGCGTTGCGAGCTTCATCCGCATCCGTATGCTCAACTTCCTGAACAACTTGATTACGGCGGCTTGGTTCGCCTTGCAGGTTCGTCAGTGTCTGGATTTGTTGCTCATGCATCTCTCTCATATTCTGCATGGCCATCTGCATTTCGAACCTGAAGCTTTCTTGCTGTTTAGCCATGGCTTCTTCGAGCATCTTGGCCACTTGTTCCGCACTTATCATGAATGACTCGCAGGGTTGTCCATCGTTGGACACTGTATTATCTGATGCGACCGCAGAGCAGGCATCTGATTCTTCATCTTCTGAAGGTGTTCTTGTCCGAACCCTACCATAAGTTCCTCGTATGATGGCTCTGGACTGCAAACGAGTTAGATACCGGGGTATTGGCGGAATTGACTCGGGATTATCCCGTGTCGATGCCCTTTTGCTGGTGGAAATTCTCCGTCTTCAATTACTCTTCTTCTTTGTCGGAAGCGCCTAGACCTTGGTCTTGGCGTTTCGGTACCAAGCCTTTCGAACACTGAAATTCGCTCGGGGACTGCCTTAATGCAGTTGCACTCAGACAGTACCGCCCGAATGAGCTTTGAACAAGGGCACTGAGTTTCTAGCCTTCGAGGACTCCTCTTTCTGGCTTTGCTCGTACCCCCAGCACGATAGTACAGCTCGTCCGTTTGAAAGTCGGAGCAACCTATCGTGTGTTGGCACGATTTCTCAGGTATAACGCAATCATCATCAGACGAT